GCCCTGCAGAGTGGAATAATAGAGATAGAATGAAGCAGAATGATGAAATGGGGGTCCATATGTCCTCCAGCAGTCTAAGCCTATAGCAGCATAACTATAGAGATAGCTCAGGATAAACTGAGCCATTTTAACTATAAGCTTTGTCAAAAAGAAAAGTTTAAAGCCTAGCCTTAAAAGAAGACAGGGTGTCTGCCTCACATACTAAAACTGGTAGTTGGTTCCATAGGAGAGGACGCTGACAACTAAAAAATCTGCCTCACATACACAGGTATGGCTCCAGGACTCCTGACTACGTCTTAACATCAGTAAAACAGTCCGGATTTTTTCTCCCGACAACCAGTCGAGAGTGATGATCAATAGATACAGACAGGATGTGATTGAATATTTTAAATTTCTAGAGTGGTCTTTGATTCTAACTTAGAGCAGAATGTAAAGACAATCTCCAATATAATTAAGTTTAATCTTTCTAACTTTAAACATATAAGATCCTCTCAGACTATAGAATCAGCCAAAGCTTGTATGCATGCTGAGATATTTAGCCATATAAACTACTGCCACACCACAGGGTCTCACACCTCACAGGCCAATCTAGAAAAGCTTTTATTTATCATTGTTGTAACATTTGAAGTCAATACAACATTTTTAATCGTTATCAGATATTTATGGATGTGCTTTAAACTGACTCGCTCCTCCCCTAACAGATTTTATATGCCGAAAAAAACAGTAATAGAATAAACAGCAGAGCTCAGCGGTGTAGAGCCTAATTTGGTCGAATGGTTTCGTCCATCAGAGGAACACGGGCAGAGAACACACTGCCAGGCCATATTACGGTCTGGGGGGGGGGGCCCACCAGAAGTTTTAATGTTGGTTGAAAGCTAACCAGACATGTGTTCACAGGTAAATTGATCTGTTTTCTTGGCCCTGCTTACCTAATGTTATTGTGATTTTTATTGGCGTCTTATCTGTTTTTTCCCCACTCTGTTCTCCATTAGGATCTTGTTTAATGTTTATGTTTTTTTTTTACCTGCCTTAGGACAGCAAACGCAAATTAGCTGCTGTGCTAATTCAGGATATTTACATTGATGCTTTAAGGCGACATGTTGACGAATGTGCATTGTCTGAATTCAAATAAATAAATTAAAAAAAACAAGGAAGGGAAAGAAAATAAAATCCTCCTCAGATTCCCTCTCTTTATGTTCTTCCTTTAACATATTTGTATCTTATTGTTTTAAATCCTGCATTTTTATCACTCTGCTGTTCCTGTTTCTTCCTGTTTGAGCCGCTGAGAACAATAATCAGGGCGCACTTGGACAGTCCCTCTCTGACGCTTCTGTCCTGAATAATTAACCCAGTTCAGGCCCAGCTCCTCGCTCGGCTGCTAAATACAGATTCCTCACATCGGTGAGGAAAATCCAGCGGCCCTCATGCTCTCAATAACTGTTTTCCTGTTGCACCCTCATGCTCTCAACAGTGACTCGGACGTGTCCATCAAGCAGTGCCCGATGTGTGGCGTGTACATCGAGAGGAACCAGGGCTGTGCACAGATGCTGTGTAAGAGCTGCAAACACACGTTCTGCTGGTACTGTCTGCAGAACCTGGATGTGAGTCTCAAGCCTCCCAGAGCAATAAACACCTGCATTGTTCTAACGTTGATCTGTCCCAACGAGCTCTTTAACTTGTTCTAAACGCAGGGCGACATCTTCCTGCGGCATTACGATAAGGGCCCCTGCAGAAACAAGCTGGGACACTCCAGGGCCTCAGTCATGTGGAACAGGACACAGGTGAGGTTGCCAAGCAGGAAGTTTGTTCATTTCAGCTGTGAGGTCTTTGTTTGAGCAGCTCCGCCTCCAGAACAGCCGGTCTGAGAAGCAGGTTCTGGCATGCAAGGGTTTTCATTTCTCTCTCCCTACCAGCTCCAAAACAAATGATGTCACACCTGGGGAAGGCACTAGTTGCAATATGTAGATATTTGGTTTCATGAGATATGAGCCATCAGAAATTAAGTAAGAAAAAATTATTTTTAGAGAACATTTTAGCAGCAGGGTGCTTTGCAGCATAAAAACTTGTCATTTTGTACACAGTGTATATAAAGCACATTTCGTTCAATACAGCTTTCAAGACATTTCCATTTTCAAAGTGCAGCACTGATAAAAAGTAAGCAGCCGACTGGAAAAAACAATCTAGAAATAAGTAAAAAGTTCTTAAATTAAGGATATTTACTGTTAATTTCAGTAGGTAAATGAGATTTTGAGTTTGCGAATGGAATGAGTTTTTTTACTCTTAAAACAAGATAATTAGATAATATGCAATTGAATTAAGACAATGCAATTGTGTTTTCTTATTTTAAGTGTAAATTGTCTCGTTCCATTGGCAAGATGTCTCCTTTACCTCCTGAGTCAGGGAACAAATGCATTTATTTTAAGAAAAAATGACAAATCTAGATATCAATTGTTCCCAGTGATAAAATATAAACATAAGACTGTATATGATTTACAGTTTCCAACATTCAGGGTTTTTTTTTTTTAAACCCCATTTGGGAAGAAACTGGAATCTGCTGGTCCTGCATCGGATGCTTCGAAGCCTCTTCCCAGAGGGCAGCAGGGAGAACAGTCCATGGTGGGGGGGTGAGGGGTCATTTCACCCCACGCAGCGCTGAGATGAAATGTCTTTAATGGAGGGAAGAGGAGCCCTGATGATCCTCTCTGCTGTTCTCACTTTCTTCCAGTCTGAGGCGCTGCAGCCTCCACACCACACAGTGAGACAGCTGGTCTCAGCTGCTGTAGAAGGTGGTGAGGATGGGTGGGGGCAGGTGGGCTCTCCTCATCCTCCTCAGGAGGTCCGTGCGCTTTTGTGCCTTTTGGCGGTCATATAGACGCGGGATCGATGTCTGATTTGTAGCATTTAAACGGCATATTCCGAGCTGTTCTTGGCTGCTGCCTTGAGGCGCCGGCATGTTACCCTATTATACTTCAGAACAAATTGCAGTAAAATCATTAAAACATGAATTATGTATACAGGAAATCATTAAAACATTAGAACCATCATATAAAATCAAAAATCTATCAGCACTGCAAAAACTACACTGCAAAAACTAAAGTCTAGCTCAGTCCAATTTTCTGGAAATAAGTTTTTTTTTCCTTGATTTGAGCAGGTAAGAACATTTGTCAATGGAATAGGAACACTTAAAATTAAAATAACTCAAATAAAACTCAAATCTCATTTCAAGCCTGATATTAAAGGATCTTATTTTAAGGGCAAAAATACTTATTCTATTGGCAGATCATCTTATTTACATAAAATTGAAGAAATTATAAAATATTTGGCTTAAAGCAGCTTTTCACCTGGATTTATTAGCAGACTACCAATCAAAGTCAGCTCTAAACAGGTGGGTGTTCTGCCTTGATTTAGGGGAATTTAGGAATTTTTTTGCAGCAACTGTCATTAAATTATGGCAGTCATGTTGGATCCTTGAGTTACTCTGCAAAAATTTGAAGTCTAAATAAGTCATTTTTTTTCTTTAAATAAGTGCGTCTTTTATTTAATTAAGGAGGTACAGTAAGTGAGACATTTTTCCAATGAAAGAAGACAATTTACAATTAAAATAAGAAAAAATGTTGCATATTGTCTTATTTAAAGTGCATATTATCTAATTATCTTATTTTAAGAGTAAAAATACTAATTCCATTGGCAAACTATCTTATTTACCTGCTCAAATTAAGTGTAAATACACTTAATTTAAGACATTTTTATTTATTTCTCGATTGCAGTGTAAAATCTGTGTTTTTTTTCTGCAGGTGGTGGGCCTCCTGATGGGCGCCAGCCTCATCGTGCTGGTGACATCCCCCCTCCTCCTGCTGGCCTCGCCCTGCATCCTGTGCTGCGTCTGCAAGCCCTGCAGCAGAAAGAAGAAGAAGAAGAAGAAGAGGGACCCCAGCCCCTCATCATCATAGCGGCTTCAGCCCCCATGTGCCTCTACCAGGATAACTCCACTAGCCTCCTGAACACCACAGAAGGTGCAAAGTGTTGGATGAACTTTGGAAAGTAAAGTTTTTGTTTTTCTTCTGTAGAGACCGTGGCCCCTTTAGCGGGCTGCCTTGATAGATGAGTAAAAACTTTAATGTTAAACTTCAGCCGACAGCTGTCCAGTCGTCACTCTGTCTCAGTGTAAATGTGTGGAATGTGAGTCCCCCCTTCCTTTTGCAGCGGTTACTTTCCGATGCATAGCAGCCTATAACTGGACAGCGGGTACTGAATGTTTTGCTGCACAGGGCTCTTTCTTTAACTCTCCTCTGCACACACACACACACACACACACCTTCACACACTCAGATCAAAGTGCAAAGCCACCCTCATGTGCCAAACATCACGATGCCAAACCAGAGGCGTTAAGGGCTCAAGTGCCTCTCTGTACAGTTCCAGGTGCTTGGTGTGATTTCTTTTGCCTTCCATTCTACCTATACTGTATCTTATGCAAAAAAGGAAGAAAAAGAAACTCTGAAAGTAGAAAATAGTTGAAAATCACACAGGGCTGGAGGACTTTGGTGAATATATGATGGTCTTTATTAATTGGTGAAGGTAGCAGATAGCAAAACACTAGCTGTTTAAAATCTGTGTGGAGATGAGACCTAGTCAGACGCTGGATCTGTGTTTCAACCTGGCTTCTGTTCCAGACCAAAGGCTGTAATATAGAATCTATACTTTGCAAAAATGTGTTAATTTAATATTTATGTTTTTTTTTCTGTCTATTACTGTCTGTCATTTCTATGTTACTGTTTATGTTTCAGCATTTTCTAAACGCATCATTACAAATAAAAACGTTTTATCAAATGATTCTTCATGAGATCTTTTTTTTTTAAACACATACCTGAGAAGAGGAAAAGAGAAATGCAGCTATGCTTTCTGTTGGAAAAGCAATGAGCTCCAAACATTGGCTCCTGTCTCAAAACTCCTCAAACAGGTTTGCTCCGCGTTTATAAGGCAAGATAGCTGTCAATAAAAACGTATATGTAGTGTATCTGGGATGCGGTGGCGGTGCGGGGGAAAGGCGTGCCTATGGTCAGACGCTTCGGTCCTCAACTCAGCCATCACAGGTTCGAGTCCCAGCCTTATGATCTTTTGCTCATCTCCCTTTCATTACTGTCTATGTTTCAAATTAATAAAATAAAGGCCACAAGGGCCAGAAAATCATCTTTAAGCTAATTGTTTAAGATTTCTTGATTATCAACTGGTCGGGCGGAGCTAGATGAAGGGCCAGGGGTGGCCATGGCAACCCTTAGCCAATCATTGGCCACCCCTACCATTTAATTTCCCTCTAATAGGGCTTGGTCGTCATGACGTAAGCACTTTGCGTGTGTTTGTCAACATCCGTGGCTTCTCTATTTAATGTTTCCCGGTAAATTCCAGATCCTTTTCGGGATTTTAACGTATTTTTTCTCTCTACTTCTACGTCTCCTCTTTCAACAACAACGTTGTATCAGAGCTATGTTTACGTTCGCGTAGCCCTCAATATGGCCGCCACGTCCCACAATGCAACGCGGATCCCGAGCCCTATACAGATGGTGGCAGCAGTAATATTCTTAAGTGGAATATTCAAAACATTTACATTTTTTGTGATTAATTATACACATCAATATGCTAACATCAAAGATGATAAGTAAAGAATTCATGCTCTTTTCAGAACTAGATTTTGTGTTTTATGGGGTAAAGAGAAAATGATCTCTCTGCAAGTCATACAGGAGTTAATTTATGTAGATATTAGTGCTTGTAAATGTCAATTTTATCCAGAAGTTTATTCATAGGAGTGGGTAAGTAATGGAAAAGATTTACGCCCCAGAACTCAAAACGGAAATAGTTTTATCCACTATACCTTTTATCTAGAAATTACGAATGTTTAAATATATGCGTCTGTTTGTTAGCAAAGACTGTAGGAAAGTATAGTTTGTCTTTATTTAGAAAATATATATATTTTGCTGTTTAATTTTCCTGTTGGAACAGTGTAAACTGACCCATAGGTTTTGGTGCCTATCCACTTTCGGCCACCCCTCAGTGTACATTGGTGAGTGCCTGGCCCCCCTTATAAAAATGTCTGGCTACGCCTCTGTAATACATAGGTGACATTAGATAATCTGTGAGAATAGTTTAGAACTTATGAATGTGAGGACAAAATGACAAGTTTCTCAGTATGAATCATGTTTGTAAAATTGTGAACCACAAATTTATGGGTGCAAATCACAGCTTTATAAAGATTTATTGTATATTTACTTGTATAAAAAATACATTTAAAAGTACACATTACAAATGTACCTGTATCAATTATAATTATACTAGAAGAAATTACAAATGAATGGATACAAATCACAGCTTTACAAGTATGAACCACAAATCCATCAGTCCAAATCCCAAATTTATAGATACATGACATATTTACCAGTTTAAATCCCAAGTTTATAAATCTACAACCCTTCATAAAGCTGATGCACTCTTTACCAGTTGGAAAGAATTGAAGATTAAAGGATGGCGAGATCTGAGCTGTCATTTGTAAAGAAGAGTGGAAAAATTTTTAACACTCCAATAAATGTATAAGAGAAGCCAGGAATAAATGAACACAGTCCAAATGATTACATAGACGGGTTTTCACTCGTAAACTTCACAGAATGGGAATCATGCCAGATAATATACGTTGGAAATGGCCGCTCAGATCCAGGTTCATTTCTACGTCTGTTTGGGAATGATGGAAATTTGACTCTTTTTGGTACGCTGCAAAAAAATAAATAAATAAATAAATCTCATTTTTTTCTTAAAATAAGTGCATTTTTTCTTGATACTATTGTTTTTACTCATAATCCTACACTGCAAAAAATGAAATCTAAATGGTTAATTTTTTCTTAAAATAAGTGCATTTTTTCTAGAATTGAGGAGATAAGTGAGACACTTTTCCAATGGAACAAGACAATTTACATTTAAAAAAAGAAAAAAATATTGCATTGTCTTATTTCAAGCGCATAATATCTACCGGTAACTATCTTATTTTAAAAGTCAAAATACTAATTCCATTGGCAAACCATCTTATTTGCCTGCTCAAATTAAGTGTAAATACACTTAATTTCAGACATTTACTCATTTTTAGATTTTTGCAGTGCACTGGAAAAACGATCTAGAAATAAGTAAAATTGTCTTAAATTCAGTGTATTTACCCTTAATTTGAGGAGGTAAATGAGATAGTTTGCCAATGGAATGAGAATTTTTACTCTTAAAATAAGATAATTAGTTAAAATGCACTTGAAATAAGACAATGCAATTATATTTTCTTATTTTAAATGTAAATTGTCTTGATCTATTGGCAAAATGTCTCTTTTACGTCCTCAATCCAAGAACAAATGCACTTATTTTAAGAATTAATGACTTATCTAGATTTCAATTTTTTTCAAGTGTGCAAAAAGCACTGGACAGTATTGAAAAGTGGACTAGCTTGATTATACCCATGTCACCCCTATTGTTCTTATTATGCTGCAAAAATCATCTAAGAATGAGTGCAATTTCTCACAATGTGTCTTTTATCCTAATCTGAGGAGATAAAAAAGATTATCCTCCAATGGAATGACTATTTTTACTTTTGAATTAAGATACTTTGATGATAGTCACTTGAAATAGGAAGCAGCACACTTGAAAAAGATCTCGAAATAAGTAAAAATTACTTAAATTAAGTGTATTTACCCTTAAATTGAGTAGGTAAATGAGATAGTTTGCCAAACTAAGATAATTAGATAATATGAACTTGAAATAAGACAATAAAATTGTCTTTTCTCATTTTAAGTGCAAATTGTTTCGTTTAATTTGCAAAATGTCACTTTTACCTCCTCAATCCAAGAACAAATGCACTTATTTTAAGAAAAAACATACTTATCTAAATTTCTATTTTTTCCAGTGCAAATAAGTTTTTTCTTATTTTAAATGTAAATTGTCTTATTCAAATGGCAAAGTGTCTCACTTACCTGCACAATTGAAGAAACACTATAAGAAAAATTGACTTAGGTGTGATTTTTTGCAGTGCAGGGGATCTATCGCCTGTTTCAAAATGTGACTTTGTGGTAATAAAGTCACAAAGTCACAGCTGGTTGAGTGATTTTCAGTGTGTGGAAATCCCAAATTTAACATGTTATAAATTGGGTCATATGATCATTTCTTGGCTTTATTCGATGATGAAATGAGATTGACTGAGGTCGATAAAGGGTTCATTTTCTCAGAACATCATCTGTCTTTTGTTTAATGTTTTTTTGTGGTGTTGTATGAATGGCACCTTATAATATAATTGTAGTTTTTTTTTCATATCTGCCGTTATTAGTTTTTGATAATGGATCAAAATGAAAATGGGAGGTAACAACATTATCGGAAACTGTCTGTCTTTATTTTTTGTTAAATGTTTAAAATGAAAATAAGTAAAAACCTCGCCTACAAAAAACAAAACAAAAGTCCTTCTACTTTCTGATGCTGTACTACTTCATGTTGGTTTTAAATCCCTGTAGATTACATAAATTTGCCACAGGAACATGAGAGTGTCATAACATTGAAAGATCTCACAAAAATGTCCCCTGATACTGTAGAATAAAGGTCAAAGGTCAGGCTGCAGTGGAAACCCAATCCGCAGAAAACAGTCTCGACAAATGGCTAAAAATGAGTGAAAAGAAATCAAATATTCAATAAAAACGCAGAAAATGCAAATATCTATTTGACAGCAAAAAAACAAACAGAAAAAGTGGACCTGGCCTTAAGGCTGCTTTTCATTGATACTCAGCAGACTGAACTTTAGGCTCCTTTATGGTTTTGAATATATTGACTTTCTTCATCTTGAGTCTCGGTTGTGGGACAGAAAATAAACCACAGCAGTTTCCTTCCCCATAAACAGACATGTGATTCAGCTGACAGCAGAAAACGGTCAAAACAAGCTGCTTTCCAAGGGAAACAGTGACACCTGCTGTTTGATGATCGAACTGCAGTGCCATTCAGTTGGAGCTATGAATCCAGCATGCGGGGTGTTAGTCCACTGACTGACACCCATTCAATGAGACATTTTTTTTCTTATCTTCATCAGTTTGCTTTTACACATTCTTCCTTTAACCTCCATCATCCCATTTTCCTTTGGTTTCTAAAGAAAACTTCCTCCCAGCAGCTGTAAGACTTTATAACCACCACTGTTCCCAACAATCTCAATAAGTTGTTCCATTCATGCTGATTTTGCAGTTTCTCTCTTAGTCACTTAAATAACACGCTGCTGTCATTTTGCACATATCTGGTGTTGCTGCTATTTTCCCATACCGACTACTTTAAAAATGTCCACAGCTGAATGTTGGTTAGTTATTCTTCGGGTGACTGCAAAGTAATTATATTTGTAAAAATGCTGTACAGTATTTAGTTTATTTTTAAACTCTGTCACTTATTGTTATCTTTATACACTTTTAAGGGCCACATATGTGTGACCACATTTCCTGTGATGCTTTTGCTGTTGCTGTAACTCCCCATGTTTCCGCATTGTGGAACAATAAAGGGATTTTCTATTCAGTTCTAAATCTCTTTTAGATTATTTCCATAACCATATTTCCTCGGAGCTCCTGGCTGTGAATAATAAAATGTAAAACAGGCAGATGAGGGACACACCCAGGCAGGCTCAGATATCAGCTCCTTTGCTGCTTTATAGCCTCACAGCCAAACCCTTTAAATGAACCTTATCTCCAGTAGATTAATGTCGCATTCCAAAGGCTTTTTAATAAATAATGCTATAAGCTCCGCCTCCTCAGATTTTGAGCCTTTTGGACATCTGACTGCCATCCTTCTCTTTAATTTAAATCTTTGGTCGGACTCTTTTTGAAGAAGTGCTGCTTTGTTGTTTACCTGCTTTTCTGCTGTTTATATGGTTGTTAAGTAGGGGAGTTTTGTAGCCGTTTATTTTTAGTTTTTCCCTAGAAATCTCCTTGTTCTTTTCTTTTAGGCTTGTCTTGTTTATGCTGGCCTGAGCTCCATCAATATCTCATTAATAAACATCTGGAATGCCAACTGGAATTATCATTCAGTATGTATTCTAAAGTTAGAACTTGTTAAAGACCTTAAACTTCAGTGGCTCAGCAGTTTTTCTTTTCTTTTTTTTATACATAAAAGAAGGTTGGGTTTGTAATTCTTTCCATACTGTAGTTTCTTTCTTTTTATTTATATGCTAAGTGCTAATTTGGGATGAACTGATGCAGGAAGATAAAGATGAGCACTGATATTTTGCAGTAAGAAGATCCTTGCAGCCTGTTCTCTCTGTGAATTCATGAGTTTTCACCAGGTACTCCTCCTCTAACAAGTGTGCATGCACCACCCTGCGCAGGTAATCAGGTTGAACCTATAGAAAGATGTTATTTAACTTCAGCCCGCTGTCTATGATCTTTACCTTATGGGTTTTATTATGTCTTATTATGAATAAACATTTCATAGATTCTGTTGTTTAGATTTAGCCCCATTGTACGTGCAGCATGACCTGATAAAGATGATCTCACTAAATGAACGGCTCAGATAACTGCTGATGATGCAGTTTTTGTTTATTCTGTTGGTTTTTTCAGACAGAAGTGCAATGGATCAACACAGACCTCAGAGTTTGTATTTTTAAAGCTTTTCTTTGTGACTTTTCTCTTTCTTGTAAGATTTAAAACAAATGCTGCTTTAGAACATTTGTTTTTTTCAGTCAACAGCATCCTTTAGGTTTCATCTTTCAGCAGCAGAGCCGTTTGGACACCATTTGCAGCTTGAATCATGTGGACTTCTAGGTTTAATTGTATAATAACAATAAATCTTTGACTTTTTTTATTCTTTTTGTTTTACCTCTGCATTTTTAATACAGAGGAAAACAGTAAAAGTCCTTTTCCAATTAACTAAAGGGTTATTTTTAGTCTACATCATAGTTTACTTTTCATAAACTAAAACCAGACTTGAAAGTTTATGAGTAAATCAAAATCATCCCTTGAAGACTAAGTGTACTTGACAGCGTACTTTCTATAAGTTCAGTGAAGGCTTGAAAGTTTAATTTCAAGTAAACTGAAAGTACTCCTGGAGGAAAGCTTTAAGTATACTTCTAAATAAACTTTTAATGAACCAGAGGTAAATGTTTATGGCGAGATAATTAAAAGTACACCTGGAGGACTACATTAAGCAAACCTTCCATAAACGGTATAGACTTAAATGGTCATTGCAAATAAACAAAACGTACACTTGAAGCACTTTATGTATATTTTAGTCTACTTTCTGTGACTGAAACTGGAAAGTTTATGCCAAGAAAATTTTAATTATACCTGGAAGACGTGTTTAAGCGTTCTTTCTATGAAGAGGGTAGACTTGAAATGTATTTCAAATAAATCAAAATTTCACTTGAAGAACTACTTGAAAGTGTACTTTCTATGAACTAGGGTTAAAAGTTTTATGGTGAGAACATTAAAAGTATAACTGAAAGGCTACTTTAAAGCTTACTTTCCATAAACACTGTAGACTTCAAAGTTTAATTAAAGTAAATTATACGTGTTACTGACAAATAGCAGGCTTAAAATGGGCTAATTTATTACTCAAAAGTTTATTTTTTATTAATAACTGTACTGTATTTTACTTGTATCAGTGTAAACTTAGAATATATACACTTAGATTTAAATTATACTCAGTTTGAGTAAAGGAGCCTTCCGGGTAAGAAATGAAAAGCAGGAAACTAATCCTGTCACTATAGTAGTGCATTATTTCACCAGTATATTCTGGTTGGTGTTTCATGAACTTTTACAAAGAGAGTTCCCACTCTGTGTTTTTTCTGGCTCTTATATTGAAGCCAGCCGGTGCGCCTGAGTGACAGAGTGAGACCTCCTGTCTGATAACAGAGATTTAAAAATCTATTCACTCATTTCTGCTTCGAGGAAAGAAAAAAAAAAGAGGAAGAAATAAAAAGCGCACCTTCCTTTGACATCACATCATACTACCAACCTGTCCGGCGTTCGTCCAATCAGCGACCAAGAGAAGGTTTGGTGTTGGTCCCGCCGTCCAATCAGGATTGAGCGCGAGCTCTGCTCACCTTGACGTCATCGCTGATTGGAGGGTGGATGGGAGCAGCAGACAGAGTTCTGCTCCAGCCAATCAGAGAGCTTCCTGTCTGTTGTTATCATTAAATATTCACCAGCATCTCTCCAGCTGTCCGCCACCAGCCGCTGCCTGTGGGATCCTTATTTATTTTCATTTTAACAGAAAGATCCTTTTTTTTCCCTTCCTTTTTTAGGCAGAATAATATTTTTATTTTTTGTTATTTTAAAATTTCTAAGCGTTTTTAAACAAATATTTCTACAGAATGTGGACCTTCCTGGGAGTTGCAACTTTTACATATCTTTATAAAAAGTCCAACATGTTGCTGAGTTTGGCTCAGAAGGAGCTGCTCTTCATAGCAGCTTTGTTTCTCACAGCCGGACTGCTGATCTCATACCTCAGATTTGTTCATGGTCAGAAACTGTCAGTTTCTCGGATCATTTATTTGCCTTTAAATATTCTGTCATTTTTACCTCTTATCAGCCACTTAGTCCCTCAGACTGCAGAACCAAGCAGCAAAAAAGCAGCAAACACTAAAAAGGTGAGTCATTCTTTAGATCTCCTCTCTTTGATTTATTTTCTGAGCTTCGTTTTTTAAAAATACAGATTTTTATGTTTCAAGTTTAGAATTTATATTGAGAAGAGATGCATTTTTATTTATTTATTTTTTCAGAATAAGAAATCAAGAAGAAGAGCTGGCCCAGAGTCCTCTACCTCAGAGTCTGCCTCAATCTGTGGCTCCTCTGAGGGCCCGGAGCCAGATGTGCTGATAGTTGGGGCCGGGGTCCTGGGTTCAGCCATGGCGGCTGTCCTGGCCAGGGATGGGAGAAGGGTGACGGTGGTGGAGAGGGACCTGAGGGAGCCTGACAGGATAGTGGGGGAGCTGCTGCAGCCGGGGGGGTTCAGGGCCCTCAGAGAGCTGGGACTGGAAGGTTGGTTAGAGACCCCTGCTTTAGAGAAAACCTCTCCACATGGTCCAGATCTCACATCTGGATTTTATTCTCAATGCTTGACAGAAAGGCAAAGCAGGTTTACACAACTCAAAGTGTTTTATATGGAAAAAAATACAAAATTTAAATGCATTAATAAAGAAAAGAGCTTAAGAACAGAAATAATAAACAAAAACTACATGTTTCATTTGCATAGTTGTAGAAAACAGAAAAAGCAGACAAATAAAATGTTTTTAATTTAAAGGAATGAAGAGATTATGCCTAGATGGATTTAAAGTTCATAAAAAGCCCATAATGAATTTCTGTTGGCTCAGAATGTAGACAAATAGAATACAGACAAAATACTTTAATTAGAAAGTCCTTATGAAATAAAAGATAAAAAACATCAAATCTATAAGGTACATCAGGATCAAAAATGGTGGATTTAAAGCTGCTGAAAAACACCAGCTGATCGCCGCTTGGCTGCATCCGGATCCACCTCTGGGAACAGGAAGTAGGGATGAAGCTGTCGACCTCAGGTTCTGGTTGGTTTGGAAGTGATCAGAGGGAACCTTAGATCATACAGAGGTTTATGAACCAGATGCAGGATTTAAAAATCAGTTTTGTGACAAACAGGACAGTGTGGACTTAAACAGTCAACTTTCTTCATGTAATCTGAACGATCTGCACTGGTTTAATGTTTTAATTTTAGGCAAACCAGTAAAAACAGCGTTACTGTTAAAAAAATTAAATCCTGGACAAGTTTCTCTAACATCAGCCATTTACTTCATATGTTTTGACTTCAGGGTTGATTTGAGGTCAGAGTTTAGAAACAACCAGAGATTTCTGCTTTGGATATTTTATTATATATACCTTTACATTACATCACATTTAAAGCCGAATGCTGACTCTTAATATTTCCTTTTTGCTCTATTTTCATCTTCATTTAACTGAAAATGCATTTGATCAAAGTGTGAATTGGATCTCCGTCTCCTGGTGGGATTCTTATTTAGATTCATGTTTCATCTGCATATTATTGGTAACACTTTGTGTTATTTCTTTGATAAGGCAAACGCGTGTTAGCATATGGATGTCAAATAATGGAGACTCCAGCTTTAAACCCTGAGGAACTCCGCATTTAGCTCTAATAAGAAGTCAATAAGATACAGTATATAGTCTTTACCTCTTAAGATGGGATAGGAATATCACAGCCAGACAATTTTGGAAAACTCGTCTAAACAGCCAGGAAAGGAATTTGTCCGCCATGTTCTCATGATTGGACAAGGCTGTCTGTGGACACAGTGAAGCACACATCCTGCTTCTAGCATAGGAGCACTGACTGTTTAACTTTCTCAATGTCAGTAAAAGAAAAAAAGGGAAATATGTTGCAGGAAAGTTCAGAGTCCACTGAATGTTAACAGCTGTGAACAAAGCGAGTTATTAGCTGTGGATTTTCTTTATATCAGAAAAAACCTCCTCAGCTCTGGATTATAAATACCCAGCAGATCTTTCTAGATGTTGTAATGAACCTGTCACTTCCATCTCCTTCGTCTCCGTTCTGCTTGTTAAACCCTTTCAGCCCGACCAGCGTAATGAAAAGTACTCAATTAAGCAAAGTTCTAGTTTGACTTCTTTCTACTTAAGTAAAAGTAGAAGTAATCATCCAAGTAAGACTAAATACTTGGTAAAAAATCTACTTAAATAGTGAGAAACTGTTGGGTTATAAGATTTGGTGTTTGCCGTCAGACAAGGAGTTATTTGCAAGTTCTAGTATTTCAAAGTATAAAATAAAATAAAAATGAAATAATATTAAAATAAACACTTTGCCACCACATTATTCTTTTTTTAAATGAAATTACTGCACAGAGGTTTGGGGCAATAAGTATTAAAATGTAATATACTAAATATGAATTTATGGGGCTGGATAGAATGACCAGAACAATTGATTATTTCTAAATCAAAGCTGCTCAGATATACAGATCTGGTAAAATCACAGAGAGAACTGATCACATGTCCTGCTAATATACAGAAACTATTCATCGACAGGGAGTCGGGTCATAATTTAACGGGACGGGATCATTTTAAAAGGTTAAACTTCCACTAAACTAAGATACAATAATTCAGAGACATCAAGATTAGGAATGTTGTTAATTACTTCATGTTAATTAATTAAAACTTTTTTTCTTCTGTGCTTAAATTTTCTACTTTTCTGTTTTAATTGCTTTTTTTCATTTTTTATTGTGTTCTTATGGGCATTGTTAGTAGGTTACAATATTTTGGTTTACTTTTTATGTATGTAAAAAAAAAAACAGACTAACTAAAAGGTAATCTATATGTAAGGAAAGGTGAAATAACTTTAAATATCCACTGTTAACTGTATTTAACTTATGGTGGGTAGTGAAGCTAGAGGAATTAGTAGACCTGTAGATCGTCTCTGATGGTTGTTCGTGGAGATTTGATCGATTTGCTGCAGGAGCTCCCAAAACAAGAGTTTGGATTTTTTCCTCTCCGTCTTACCAGCCTGATGAACACGAGCTCCATCCGAATGCAGAAAATCGTAACTCCTACAATTTTCCTACAGTAGAGGCATCATCATGAGTGATGCTAGTTGAATTGGATCTAAAATGCTACAAAAAATAACTACAAAAACGCAAGTTGGCTCTAATATAAGGTGCGTTACGTTAGAGTGACGCACAGAGTTACGCGTGATGAATTAATGTGCTTTTTTAAAGTCAATAAGCTATCTGTGCCTTTTCTTCCTGTCATGCAAAGGATTGTGGTAAAACGTATAGGTTCTAAGCCAGAGGTGGGTGATTCCAGTACCTGAGGGGCGGCATCCTGCAAATTTTAGATGTGCCTTTGAACCAAAGGCGGTACTAGACAGGGGCCAACGGGGGCCAGTGCCCCTGTAGATCATGTCCTGGCCCCTGTTATGGCCCCTGCACTGAAGACGTAATACTTAAAAGATATTCTAATGATGAACAGACATGCTTACTGAAAGGTCTTTGGATCTATTTCAGTTTTTTTCTTTTCACAAAATCTATTTTACTAATTATTTTAAAACAATAAGGTGATAGCTTAGGATCCAGGTTTTTCATCCGCTAAATGTTTTTTTTTTTTTTTTTTTTTTTTTTTTACAAATTTTAAAAAATGCAATAATTTTTACAGCTGAATTTATCAGTTTTTCTTTATTTCTAATTCCGATTTTATAGAAAATGGCAATTTCAACCTAAATTAAGTCAAAAATACACAAAATATTCTAAATTATGTAATGATGCATATTGACCGAATAACATTGGATTTCAATTAAACTAAATTGACTAGAAATTTCACTTTAGTGAAGCTCTTTTAATATATTTTAATCCCTTGCCCTGTTTTTTATTTCATGTTTTTCTGGGCCCCAATGAAAACACACTGGCCCCCTCCTGGCCCCCTGGTACATTTGGTCTAGAACCGCCACTGCCTTTGGTTCAACACACCTGACTCAAGTAATTAATTGAGAGGACAGGAGTAACTGACTGCCTACTGAGGAGATAACTCGGCCAGATGATGCAGGTGTGTTGAACCAAGGATGGATGTAAAAGTTGCAGGATACCGGCCCCCAACAACTGGAATTGCCCACCCCTGTTCTAAGCTATATGAACTAACAATAGTTCCTTCCTGCTTCCTTTTCCTACTTCCTTCCTTCCTGTCAGCATTGTTCTTATGGTGAACACTTTGGATTAATCATTTGAAGCCTTGACCACGAAATAACTGATACAAAAATTCTGTTGTTTTTTTTTACTAGAGGGGTCATCGAATTTTCTGACAAATTAAAACATAAATGTTGCATAAGTTAAATCAAATAATGTATTTGCATCAGTTTTGATACATTAGGCAGTCTATATAATGTTTAAAACATTTTTTGTGCACTGTATGCAAAAAGAAAAACCATTGATGATGCAGAAGTCTCAAAAACTCATGTATCAAATATGATACACTTGGGTTTAAAGGTTTTAAAAGCCCTTAGCAACGTGCTGGACTGGGATGGCCCCACTGGTTCTCCATCTTATAATAAAATATTGCTAAGTCATGGAATACACAGATTCAAGTAATTTAAATGAATTTAGAAAATAAAAAAATGTATAAAAAGGTAGGAAAAAAAACTCTTTCAGAAATTTCTTTAGAAAGGCAGATTTTATCAGGTTATTTTCTTTCAAAGCCAAAATATCTACTTCTCCAACCACAAGAAACAAGGGCAGCTAAACTGTAAAAGGTTTGCTCATATTTAAACATATTAGGAAAAAAATCTGCCTGCTTTGTGTTTGGCTGCAGGTTCGGTGGAAGGACTGGACGCCCACCAGGTCAACGGCTATGTGATCCATGACATGGACAGCCACTCGGAGGTGGAGATTCCTTATCCTCAGGAGAAGGGAAGCGTTCAGTGCGGACGAGCTTTCCATCATGGCCGCTTCATCATGGGGCTACGGAGGGCTGCCATGGCTGAGCCGAAGTAAGCCGAGTCATGTGGTGAACAGTGTGCCATGCTTCACTAATGGCAGAGCTATGTGATAGCTGATGAACATTTAAAAATCAAGCCTGTGGAAGTGTTTCTAACTGTGTGATATCGCCCCCTAGTGTCAAATTACTAGAAGGCACTGTGACCAGTTTGCTGGAGGAAAACGGCTGTGTAACTGGAGTCCAGTACAAGGATAAAGAAACTGGAGACATCAAGGTGTCTTTGCTGTAACTTCCTTACATTTGCCACTCGCCCACCAGAGGGCGCTAACTTTGCCATGGTGTCCTGCAGGATCTGCACGCTGGGCTGACAGTGGTGGCCGACGGCTGCTTCTCCAAATTCAGAAAGAGTCTGGTCTCTGGGAAAGCTCGCATCTCCTCTCACTTTGTCGGCTGCCTCATGAAGGTAGGAAAGATCAACACAGAGACGAGCTTTTCTGGGCTGGAAAGCACTAACCTAGTGAATCATTTCATTAAGCCTGTCAGAATGTCCGCCATAATCACTATATAGGGCTCTATACAAAGGTTACGCCATTTTAGATGAGTGTCCAAACGTCAAGTGAATGAACAAGTAGTAGACTTTAAATTTCCCACAATGCACCTTGAAAAGTAGTGATCATTCAAGGTCACTTCATGAGCAGATACACCCCGGAATGCTTTGCGAGAAGAGCTCCCCCCGCAAAGCATTATGGGATTTGTTGTCACAGCAGCCTGCTGTCACTACCTAACAGCAGCGACAAATAACAGAAAGATGGTGCAGGCACTGTGCGGGGAGGCGGAGTCACGTGACCAACGGGAGTGTAAAGAAGTGATCATCTGTCCGAATGGTCAGTAAACTATAAAGTCCACTATGTAGTCCCCACTCTATATAGTGATTGAGGGATTTAGGAGTTAGGGCAGATGTTCGGACGCAGCCTAAAAGTAGCTGCAGATCTTTAATTCTTACATCTGATAAGAGCTCGTTTTAATAAGCAGTGGTTATCCTGTGGCCACTTCCTGTATAATTAAGGTCAATGGCTGCCTTACTGGAACTACAGCAACTAAACACTTTAAAACGGGTCGCTGGCGACCCGGTGGGTTTTGAGAGGTTAAAGCAGTGAATTATAAGGCAGTTTTATAGAATTTTCCAACACATTAAGTCCTATTATAATACATTAAAGGTATAGTTCAGTTTAGGGCGATGCACGCTCCTCTCACAGCGGAGGTGATTCTCGGCGGGAAGGAGTTTCTCGGCATTTATCTGTCCACCAAAACTTTAAATTTTAGGTCATCTGAGCATAACAATATGAAAACATTAAGAATATCTTTAAAAGTTCCCTTTTCATTCATATTTCAATCCGTTTTCTCATAAATGTACGAGACGGGAGGTCATTCTCTGCAGCCCGGCATTTCTCAGCAAATCTTTTGGAAAGTGAGGTTGAATGATTGATGCAAAAAGCAACTTTTAAACAGAGCATGCATGAGGAGAAATGGGTTTGTGCACGTTCTCGCACGCAGTCATAGAATGCAAAACCGAGTTTATGTTGTCAGATTAATAACGATAGCTCAGTGGATGAAATGGACGAATTCAGGCACCAAAGCACCAAATTGATGTGAATTCAGGGATGCCTTGCCTTATTGGGGGGGTGGAACAGGCCCATGTCCGCTGACTGGACCGGTCTGGTGACGGTACGCTTCGGTAAGCACGGGGCTGCCATTGTCCAGGCTACCGGGTCGGGTTCGTAGTGTAAAAAATAAAATACTCAAATACATAATTCTTTTAAGATCTTTATTTCGGTTTGAAACATATTATCCAATTCAACCGAATCCACTTTAATTATATAGCACGATTTCAATAAACACAAGGTTTCCAAAGTGCTGCACAAAAAGATAAAATAAATAAAATAAATAAAAGTAAATAAAATAAAAGCGCTGCCCGCACAGGATAAAAAATATGCATGTGTATACATAAAATCAACACTCTACATGGTGTCAAAAGCCAAAGAAAAACAGGTGGGTTTTAAGAAGAGTTTTAAAATGAGACAGAGAGGTGGCCTGTCTAATGTGCTGTGGCAATCCATTCCAAAGTTTTGGAGCTGCAACAGAAAACGCTCGATCCCCTCTGAGCCGGATAGGAGTTTATTTTTTACCAACCATCTAATGAACTATAAACACTTATTAACAGTAATTAAAAGTACCACTGTCTGCTTTGCTATTGGTGTCGTGTTTAAACGGCTCACTATCATGTTGAAATCTCCCATGTGTTGGGGTATAAATACGATCCGGTCAGTCGATCTAGTATCAGGTGGGTTTAAGAGGATTTTTACGCACCATTACATCTACAAAGAGACGTCCTAGTCTACAATTGCATATGGGGCCACCCAGGTGTCAGTGACGGGGCCCCTAAGAGGTTGTGGGCCCCTAACTGCTGTCTCTGCTTACCGATATTTACACCATTAACCTGGACGTTTTTTAGGTATGAAAGTAGGACATGTCCGGGAAAAAAGAGGACATCTGGTCACCCTACCATAACAACAATTTGATGTTTCAGTGAGTGAGTGCTTGTTGCTATGATGCGTCTTTGCTCAGCAGCTTCGCTCGTTGTAAACCAACCAATCAGAGCACAGCTCATCTAAATATTCATGATCATACCATAAAAGGAAGAAAACCTGTCGTTTCATTGTAGGGCTTTTAACCAGGCTGCATTAGGGCTCATAGAACAGCAAATATGTCATTTTCAGCCCAACCAATGTTACACACCCTATTCAGAGACCTTAAGGACCAGCACCAGATACCCTATAGAAACATTCTATCACCCTTTATTAGGCGTTACCTCTTAGAGTGGGTACGAGGTCGGGCATGTGCATTTTTTTTTTTTAAGTGGAGAGGGAGGGTCTTTTTTTTTTAAATTGGTGAAAATCCTCCACTATACCTTTAAGGAAAAAATAAGTGAAAGGTGTGTGGAGACTTTTGCAAGGCGCTGTAGGAACAGTAACAAAATGTTTCCTCTGCTGCTCCTGACAGGACTGTCCGCAGTTCAAGGCCAACCACGCCGAGCTGGTGCTGGCCAATCCAAGCCCGGTGCTCATCTACCAGATCTCCTCCTCTCACACCAGGGTGCTTGTAGACATCAGAGGGGAGATGCCACGGGACCTTCCAGGATACATGGCTGAGAAAATATACCCACAGCTGCCAGGTTAATATCACTCAAGTCACTTCTTTTTATAATAACCTTTATATCTGAAATCAAGTTTGAACATCATGATCATGAGGTGTTGTTGCTGAGGAACCCATGCAGATTAGTGCGTGAGCACCAAGAGGGAGGCTGCAGCTGCAGGGTTTGACCTTCAGAGTCTGCTCTGTTATTCAGCTGAAATATCAAAGCTACAATATCAAAGCAGCAGCTCCAATAACCGTGACAGAGGTCCGGCCGGACTGCTGCAGTCACTCAGTGTTGCATTGATAAATGGACGCTCTTCACTCCAAAAAGAAATGCTTGTTCCCAGCATGCACCTGTGGGCTTTCATCCAAGTCACCGACCTCCCGTGTTCCTGCTTTCTCCTCTTCCTGCAGGGCATTTAAAGGAGCCTTTCATGGAGGCACTACAGAACGATCGCCTCAGGTCCATGCCTGCCAGCTTCCTCCCTCCTTCCCCTGTCAACAAGCCAGGTACTGAAATCTTATTGATCAGCTTTTGGTTGGACACAACCCAGGAAATGAATCGTACCGATGCTTCTCTCCTCCGCAAATTTATTTATCAGTTCAGGGAAAACTGGAAACAGTTCAGGCTGTTAAAGGTAGCTTCTATGGGGTTAGATAAGTGTCAACATTTTTGAATTCGTAGATATAGATAAGAATTTGTATTTTCTTCTTGTCATGTCATACAAAAATCCCATCTGGTGTTTCATCTGTTAGAATACAAGTTAAGAATTTACAGTAAAATAAAAGCACAGTTACAAACTTCTAATAGGAATCTACTGCTGTTCCACTCCTATCCAGCTGGTGGCAGTAACACACCTGAAGTTTCTACTCCTTCAAGCAGGAGAAGAACGAAACAGACCCACCAATTAACAGTTTTACCTTTGCTGAGGTTGTTTTAATGAATGCCAAGTATATTTAGATTGATGGTTCCATTTTAACTTATTTTTTAAATTTCTTCCAGTTCAATTCAGTTTATTTATATAGCGCAAATTCAAAACACATGTCATCTTAAAGAACTTTGCAGTTCAACCAGATCATACAGTCAAATTGATTTAAAGTTTTCTATCTCAGGAAAAAACAGTTGATTGCATCGACTCATTGACTCCTCAGCAATCCCTCGCACTAAGCATGCTTGTAGCGAAAGTGGAGAGGAAAAACTCCCTTTTAACAGGAAGAAACCTCCAGCAGAACCAGGCTGCAGAAGCAGAGATACAAAAAGCAGCTGTAAAAGGCGACCCGTCCAGCCAGCTCCCATGCCAGAGGATGAAAAGAGCACATCCAGCCAGTCACAGTGAGAGAAACAGGACTACACTGAAAAACAACATCTATAAACTAAGGTGTTGATGGCAGCAGCACAGCTGGTATTTCTCTCCAGGATGGAGTCACAGCCAAACAGGAACAGACCAGATGAAGCTACCATGAGGAAAAGCAGAGAGAGCAGAACGTCAATAAAAAATATCACTTTAAATTAAATGAATAAAAATTAAAGGTGGTATAAAAACAACCTCCAGCTGCATTAGCTATCACTAAACGGTCAGTAGCTTCATCAGAGGTAATAGGTTAGAATTTGCCTCCCTGATGTAACGTGAGTTAATGACAAGGAAAAATAAAAAGCTTAACTTGATTCATCTTTATGGATTAAACTGGCAAATTTATCAATAAAATTTATCTTACGATACATTTTTTTTTTCTGCAATAGACATTTGAACGTAGGACAGCGGTGTCCTAACGTTTTTACTGTTAAAATGTCTACTTAAAATCACTCAGGGGCCACAACAATTTGTTGCATTTCTATTAAATATTAATATCAATATTATTTATTTATTCATTTCATGCTTTCTAACGGTAATCCAAGTTTGCAGTATTTGAAAGAACAAGCGGAGTCTGATTTCTATAGAAAAGAGTATTTAAACATAACTAAATCTGAACTTTTGCCTGTTTGAAAAAGAAAAAAACAATAGAATTGTTTAAAATGTTCAGCTTTATTTACATTTAGTCGTGTTTATGTTTATTTAACAGGGTTTGATCATTTAGTTGCTGGAAGTTTGTGAAAAAGGATTTTTTTTTTTTTTTTTACGTAGAACCCGTCGTTGTCTAATTGAAGAGTTTAAATGGTCCTGTAAGCAGACAGGAAGCAGCCCTCTGGTGTCTCCGACGGATAAGTGTCAGAAAACAGATGGAAATCCTTAAATGTTTCTTTTTGAAGGTCTTGTGTCGGTGAACCTGGCAACCTAACATTTTATATACATTCATCCCCATCAGGCGCCTGAATAATGTATGTTTATTGTTTGCAGCCGTTTACAGCAGCGCTTTGTTTCAGCTGTAGTTGTCTTTATAGAAACGAAGCTGATAAAATGACACAATTCTTAAAATCTGGTAAAAGGCGTTTTTGTTTTTAAACTCAACAGTATCACAAACGTTTTTTAAATGAACCTAAAAATACTATTAGGATACTTTGTGTTTTTTTATGTTTCATCGGGAATATTTTCAACAAAATAAAACGTAGTTTTAGTGTTTTATCTCACCTTTAAGAGGGTTCAATAATCATACACATTTACTGTTCTAAATCAATATTTCAAATAAATTAGTTCCCTTTTAGTTATATTTGCCATCTTTCTTCTTAAATGTGTGTTTTGAATATTATTTAGTAGGACTTTATAGACTTTGATGCTCTGAGGTTTAATATTTCATCTACACTCCAAGTAGTTTTTTAAGGAAGAGGATTAGGGCCACTGGAAAAAAAAAAAGTTAACTGATTTTCTTATTTTATTTCAGCATAGTATAGGAAAAAAGTCAGAATTCTGACTTTTTTCTCCGAATTCTGACATTAATCTCAGAATTCTGACTTTAATCTCAGAATTC